ACGATGCCCCAGAGAACTCTGTAAGAACAAGTGCATCTAGTCGTACCTTCCAGGATGCAACAAGCATAAACTCTAGGTTTAAAAGTGATTCAAACAGCTAAAGTTTTACATCATACATCATTCAAACATCGAACCGTACAAGTTCTCAGGATACTCTATATTTTAACAGTGAAAACAAGTTTTCAGAATACTCAACATTAAAGCACAAGTCCAGAAAAATGGTCAGATAAAATCTTATGCAGCAGCACGAGTTTAAACCGAGGCTGAGCATTAAGAACAAGTTTTGCTGTAACCATTCTCTACTTTCAATTAAATCCATTCGAAATTGCATAAAAGGGAAATCCACCAGGTACAGTTTGGAAATGAAAGAGCAGAATCCATGGAGATCCATCTAAATTCCTACGAATTTTCAATTACATAACAATTACAATCCCTTACTAGAAGACTGGTAGTGATGTTATCGAAACAACAGGATGAGGAGATGCATCAACTGAAATTCAATGGAAAGACCAGAATCACTGCATTCTGCCAACGGGTTCAAGGGCTTCAACAGTAACGACACTATTTCCTCTGATCACCTGCAGTGGATTGATATCAATTACAATGAGCTAATAATTCAAGGATATACCAGCATGAAAATTTAAGCACTTAACAAGTACTTGAAAGAAAGAAAGAAAGAAAAGAATTATGATGCTCACCACCATGCCAATGTCAGTTTTTTCATTGCCATTCACTTCCACAGTGTTGTCAACCACTAGATTCATAAACTGATCAAACCCACGAAGTGTACCAACAACCATCTGATTTGCATTCAGCTTGACTACAGAATTCACAGACCAACAAAATTCACACAATTAAACTGGTTCCTTTGATGCATATTACAGTGTATGTAGACAACCATCTGCAAGCTCATAGGCTTGCATGCATACTTATTACAAGGCTTTCACCCACCATGTCTTTTATTTTACATTTTTCAGCTTAAAAGATGCAACTTACAAGACCAATTAACAGCAGCAACCCAAGTATTAGCAACCGCAATGACATAGTAGCAAATACTATAAGAAAGCACACCTATATTTACAATCAAATGTAACCACTGAGTTCTTCAAATATTCAACCATGACACACAATAGATTCTTGGAGATGCAACGTTATAATCATTAACATCCATACGAAACTAAAAGGTTGAGAATATAACAGGGGAAAACCCTCGATTCTTGTGAACCCTAAATGCCAGACTAAAGAAAATGATGTAAATCACACTTTAGGTGCAGAAATTAACGGGAATATTGGCTTTACAATTAAAATTGAAGATCAACCCGCAATTAGAACACTTCAGCTACAAAGATACAAATACTAATCTTATCTTAAAGAGTAATCAATAATTATGCAGAAGTAAACTAACCCAATTAAGCTTAAGCAAGTTACTACTAGAAACAAGAAACAACAAAGAACATAAACTAGGCTTACATGAAAATAGAAATAAGAGCAAAGAAGAAGAAAAGAAACTTACTCTGGAGCTTCTTGTCCATGTACCTGTTATAAGAAAACAGCACCGATAAAAGAAATTAGAAATTATATGAGCAAAATAAAAAATAAGAAGAAGAAGAAGAAGAATTGAAAAGAAGATACTTTTTGAGATCTGGAGGCTGCCCTGATCTGCTCATTGTGACGGAAGTTTGGTGTTGTGAGGAGTGCAACAGCGAGAACCCAAAAAATAAGAAAAGAGGGGAGGGTAGGGTTTCGGGGAAGAAGAGAAGAGAAAGCGTAGGATGTAAATAATAAATATAAATATAGTACAGATATTGAGAAACGGCCCACGTATGGTGGAATATTAAAATGGGGTGCTCCGAGAATCGAACTCGGGACCTCTCGCACCCGAAGCGAGAATCATACCACTAGACCAAGCACCCTTTGTTTAATAAATTTAATCTTTTTTAATATTGACATTTTGAACTTCAATGCATTACTGTGAGCATTTCTTGTCTGATTTGTTTGGATATGAGCATCATTTTTACTGTTAAACCTCTTTCGTACCAGAGTTTGGTTTTGGTGGGTAAAAGAGGAACATTCGTTTCAAAATAGGGAAAGCTTGCCTAATCAGCAATAACAAAAGGAGGCATTCTTGCCCTTTCCTACCCAAAATATCCACATTCTGTAGAAAGAAGAGATCATGGAGAACAATTCCAGCTTAAAGAGGTCGAGTCTTCGCTGAGAAAGGATCAATTTGATACTCCATGATATGAGAGTCGAGAGATTTAAGGTCATTTAAGAGGGAACCATTTCTCATCATTACAAGCTTTATGGTCTTGGATACTCCATGCACAGGTTGAAGATATAGGGTTACGCTGAGATCGCCTCACCTTCCCTTATTCCTCCACAAAGGTAGAAACCCTCCGATTTGCCTTAATTATTTTCCTTTAGAGCACGTACCGAACAACTCGATAGTAAACGAATTATTGTCATTTCTTAAGGTCCCGACTTTGAGCACCAATAATGTTAAGGTGTAAGCGTTAAATGCTAGATTGTTGAGAGTTATCTCAAATTAATAAAAAAATAATAATATCTTTTAGAAAGTTTAAGGATTTAATTATTTTCTGAAGTTCGATGAATTATTTAAATTTTAATAAAAATGAAACTTAAAAACTATTTAAATTTAAAGAAAATATATGTAAAAGAATTTTTAAAATAATTATAAAAATATTAAAAATAAAATTTAAATTATTATCAAATAAAAAAATATTATTTAAATATTTATAAAATAAAAAGTATTAAACTATAAAATTATAAATTATCAAAATAAATAAATATTTATTTTTTAAAAAATTAAATACTCTCATCGAAAAAAATTCGAATGACTCTCCTAAACTTGATTCTAGAGTCTAATATTATTTATTGAATATCATCAAACAGTCGAAAATATAATATAATTTCGTGTATTTTTAAACTTTTTAGATCTTTTATATATACTTAGGCATGATTATAATGTAATTTGGCATATATTCAATTTTGTACCATATTAACATTAAGAAAGACAAGCAAAATCAATTGTTGTTGTAACAAAACCACTTTAAAGTTTTTTTATTATATTTATGATTTAATCATGTCTCATTCATTTAGACATTTAAACGTATAAACATGTCAAACAATATAAAAATAGTCATTTTAATATATAATTATTCAGTTACATGCATTTACATGAAGAGTGCTTGAAACTTATAATTTAAATCAAATGTCGTATGGTAACATTATTTTATATTTCTCAATTGATCACAATTTTTTAACTTAATTACTGATAGACTTATAAAATCTATAAGGGTCAAATATATAGTCAAACGATTATATTTATTTAGGTTATATGCTTTGAGTACCTACAAATAGTAATCTTGACCTTAAATTTAACACTCACATACAAATCTTCTCATCTTCCTTTTATACTTCTTTTCAACTAATTCTCTTGACTTTCATCATTAAAAATATCTCGGAATAGTATTTTTTTTTATCTAAATTAGAATGAACGAATAAATCACTTATCATGGATGCTGACACCTTTATACCATTAATAATAGTAATTCTCATTTAATTAATACAAATAATTTTAGATGATTGAGAATATAGTACTCTATGGAATTAAATTGAAATAAATATATAAAATCACATGTGCAACAAATCAATATATAGATATAATTATTTAATTAAATATAATAATTATTTAATTAAATATATTGGATACAGTCCGTACAAATCAGAGGCGTTGAGTCAAAGCATTTGTCAAAGGGTTCCCAAGTATCAATCAACTTGGAGGAAACATAGGTGGACGAGATGGAGAGGATTCAAAATACGAATGTTTTGCTGAGGGAATTCGAGCAAATGTTTTGGCCATCGACGCCGTCGGGGTCTTTCGCCATCTATGTCAGAGAGGAGGAACAAAGATTTGTGGTGCCGACAAGCTACTTGTCTCATCCACTCTTCAAGATGTTGTTGGAGAAGTCTTACAATGAATATGGATTTGAGCAGAGGGATAAACTCATCGTTCTGTGCAGCGTCGCGACGTTCCGAGAAGCTGTCAATGCTGTAGAATGTTGTAATGGGAAGTTTGATTTTGGATAACTGGTTGAGTTTGTTTACGCAGAGTATCTTCCTTCCTAGGCTCATATGCTTGGAGTTACACTAGAATTTTGTCTTGTATCATACACATGCAGCCTCTGCTGCAGTGCTGACTTTGATCATGTTAATCACTTTTTGTAGGTAGATTGGATTTGAATCAACTTCAAAACAGCACGAGGTGAATTTATTCCTAAAATTATGAGTTCTTCTTCTTCTTGTAATATATTTGCAGCAAGAGTTCATAATGTGATGCAAAGAGAATTACATAGATTACCCTTTAAAGATCATTTCCAGGCTGAAAGAAATATTTTGGTTTAAGGACAAAAAAAATCTGCATTTGAGATGCGCAACATCTCGTTGGTGCTATTGTCGGAGTTCAGACAAAAAAAGCAAAATCTATAGTCCAATTTAAAGAAAACACAATCTACTTGCATTCTTTACATATATTTTTCATTATAATATAAAATTTGAAATCGAATAACAACTACTTTCCTTGATTCGCATTTAATCTTAATCCAATAAGGGACTTTAATTGAGCTGTACTCGAATAGTACATGGTTTCTTATTTAACAAAAATTGACTATGAACACAAGCCGTCTTAGCTCAGCTGGTAGAGCGCGTGGCTTTTAACCACGTGGTCGTGGGTTCGATTCCCACAGACGGCGCGTTGCTATTCTCATTTTTGAGATGTGATGGTCCAGATACATTCCATGTTTTTAATACTTGTACCAGTAATGGGATTATGGATGAAAGAAATCTAGTTATTACTCTGCACAGATTGATACTACCGTCTGCAAGAATTCTTTTCATCGACTCCATCGGTTCTTGCATTTGTTCCCTTGAATGCAGGCCGATTTCTTTGTTGAGTTTGTTGGATTCATCAATCACATGGGATAGGGATGATAATGTGAATCATACCAAAATGCAGACTGCTACCGGGTTCCGGCTCAAGAATAGATCGTCTTTTTCCCTTTGATGATCAGGGAAAGGTTTGGTGGAACGAGCTGCAATCGAACCAGGGCTCCACACAGATCAATAACCCCTTGATTTGCAATCCTGTAAGTTGTATATACCGTGACTTCAAAGTTCAAAACAATTTAACCACATAATCCATAATTTCCTTTTTCAAACTAAAGAATAATCCACAAGTTCAACAATGATGGGCATATCAGTGCTTTGTTGATGAATTATTCCAGGCATAATTTGTTGATGAACAAGTAGTGTCATTCCTGAGGAAAACAATTTGTGACTTTCAGCAACAAGCCTGTCAGTGTCATCTAGGTTCATCTTCAACCTCACAACCTGAGAACGTCGAGCCGAATCGGCCTGTGATTGATGAATCCAACAAACAGCACAAAGGAATCAGCCTGGACGACTACCTGGGGTGTTCTTCGTTTCACGGCATTGGTCCAACCATTGCCGTATTCGACACCATAGAAGATGGATATTTGGATTGCGCGTGTGTATCCGGCGCCACTGCGTTCAAGGGAACAAATGCAAGAACCGATAGAGTCAACTACAATCCATAGTAAAAGTGAAGAAGAAATAAAAAGTTGAAAGACATTGTTCGTAATTCAAATTTCGTAATCTTTTATTTATGAAATAGCATTTTATAAACCTTAAATTTTAGTTTGATTAGATGAAGAAGAAATAAAACTAAAAATCTAAGAGAACAATAAGATAAACAAGAATACTGATAAACATTATTCAGAAATGAACATATATATAACTGAAAAGTTTATAAAAAAAAAAGTAGATTTGGATTTAAATTTGGACAATAACATCGAAATTTGAGTAACATGATCTTCTTTAACGAAATGTTGTGCTGCTCAAATGCAGATTTGTTTTTTTGAAGACCCCGTGATTGATGAATCCAACAAACTCCACAAAGAAATCGGCCTTGTCGACTACATGGGGTGTTCTTCGGTTCACGGCATCAGTCCAACCATAGGAGATGGATGTTTGGATTGCGCGCGTGTATCCGGCGCCATGCAATTCAAGAGAACAAATGGAGTCGATGAAAAGAGTTCTTCTACTTGTTTTCATTCACTGAACAATGTTTGAATAAGCTGCTTAGATATTTATATTTCCTTCTTTTTTTAAAAAAAATTATAACAAAACGCTAGAAAAAGGCAAGCGAAATTTAAAAAAATATAATTCAACTACCGTATGTGGGAATCCAGAACCCACGACCACATGGTTAAAAGCCACGCACTCTACCAACTGAGTTAAAATGACTTGTTAATTAGGTTTGTTTTGATTACTTTATAAATCATTTTACGACTTGAGTGATTACTTAATTACAATCCCTTATTCTAATAAAGCATTGTTATTCAATTTCAAATTTTATTATATGGTGACAGATATATTTTTTAAAAAATAAAAGTAAATCGTGTATTCTTGATATCGGACTGATTTTTCTAAAAAAATTAAATTATTATTTGAAATTCAGATTTTAACATTTATAATTTTAATTTTTAATTTTTAATTAAGTTTTGATAATTCATGGTTAAAAATTATTTTAATCACCTAACTATTACTTTTTTTTTCTTCAAAATCATGCCTAAAGTTAGTTTTGATCATTCGTTATTATAAAATCAACAATAATGTTGACGTGTCATCATGAGGTAATATCACATCATCATTGAAAAAT